AAGGTGAAGATGGGAGAATGTACAGCAAACCTAGTACATATTCGTTAAAGTGGAGGTCCCTAAGGCCACTACAGAAGATTGGGATTTTAGCCTGCTTCTGTGCTTTGGAGAGAACTAGCACATCTTTCTAGTCATTTGCATTCCTCTGTCAGAATTAGTAAACCAGGCTAGGACCAGGAAGGCACTGTCGCTAAAGGACCCTTGGTAAAAGTTTCTACTGGAGTCTACACTTTTCCTGCTCTAAACCTTGTGGCCAAAATATGTCTTATCTCAAAATGTGTTTGTGAAATCTATAGTGGGGTTCAGAGTGTATAAGAAATATTTATGGAGATGTCAAGCTTTGTGCAATACCGTTATTAGTTTATACATATTTTCCTGCAGAAATCATAACATTTCTATACAATTATTTTAGTCTTTCTTACAATTTCTGTTTTTTTATTGTGAAGGCAATTTTATAACTGTATTTGATGTAGTTGAATATCCAGTGGTTAGTTCTCATCCACATTGACTGTCTGTAGATTTTTTTTTCCAAGATAAAGCCTTTCTCTGTCACCCAGGCTGGAGTGCAGTGGTGTGATCTTGGCTAATTTTTTGTATTTTTAGTAGAGATGGGGTTTCACCATATAGGCCAAGCTGGTCTTGAACTCCTGACCTCAAGTGATCCGCCCGTCTTGGCCTCCCAAAGTGCTGGAGTTACAGGCATGAGCCACCGTGCCTGATCGACTGTCTGTAGATTTTTGAAAGTGGTAACAGGTACATAGGTAATCAAAGTACAGAGCTTATTTGGTGAATCTTCATCCTCATTACATCCTCTGGACAACTGCAAGTGGATATGGTATGGGACATTCCTTATTTCTTTGGCAAAGACAACTTTATTGAGCCTGGTATCAATGCACACATCTGGAGTTCCCATCTCCTTCATGGCAAAATTTCCAGATCTCTTTGAGTGTCTGAGGGACATACTTCTTGAAGCCCACTCCATACACGTGCTTGTGAATGTCGGTGTATTCTTGGGTCATCACATCATTGATGGCAGAATGGTCCATTTTCTTCTTGCCACTGTTCTTTGCAGGAGCCACTCTGCCAGGCCCAAGTTGGTAAAGCTTGTTATCATTTCTTTAAGCTTATTTCCCCTCGTTTCTTTTTTCAGTTTGAACCATTCCAACGACCTTTTCTTTTCTTCTTTCTCCTTCCTTCCTTCCTTCCTTCCTTCCTTCCTTCCTTCCTTCCTTCCTTCCTTCCTTCCTTCTTCCTTTTTTGAGATGGAGTCTCATTCTGTCACCCAGGCTGGAGTGCAGTGGTGCGATCTTGGCTCACTGTAACCTCTGCCTCCTGGGTTCAAGCAATTCTCCTGCCTCAGCCTTCCAAATAGCTGGGATTACTGGCGTGCTCCACCTCACCCAGCTAATTTTTGTATTTTTAGTAGAGATGGGGTTTCTCCTTGTTGGCCAGGCTGGTTTCCAACTCCTGACCTCAGATGATCTGCCCGCCTTGGCCTCCCAAAGTGCTGGGATTATAGGTGTGAGCCACTGCACCCAGCCCCAGTGGCTTTTTCATCTTGCTTTGTTATCCTGGTGCTTTTAACACTGATATTCTGGTACTTCAAACCAATGTAGTGGAGCCTTGCTATATGGTCTGAAAGTTTTTGTTCTCCCTAAATTCATATGTTGAAATCCCCAGTGATGGCATTAGGAGGCAGGGCCTTTGGGAAGTGATTAGGTCATGAGGGCTCTGCCCTCATGAATGGTATTAGTGTCCTTTCATTTATTTATTTATTTTGAGATGGAGTCTCACTATGTCATCCAGGCTGCAACTTCTGCCTCCTGAGTTCAAGCAATTCTCCTGCCTCAGCTTCCTGTGTAGCTGGGACTACAGGTGTGTGCCACCACGCCCAGCTAATTTTTATGGTTTTAGTAGAGATGGGGTTTCACCATGTTGTCTGGGCTGGTCTCGAACTCCTGACCTCAGGTGAGCCCACTACCTTGGCCTCCCAAAGTGTTGGGATTACAGGTATGAGCCATTTGCCTGGCCAAGGATTAGTGTTTTAAAAGAGGCACCAGAGAGGCCCTTGCCCCTTATACCATGTGAGGACACAGTGAGAAGGCACCATCTCAAAAACCAGAAAGTTGGTCTTTAACAGATGTTGAATCTTGTGGCACCCTGATTTTGGACTTCCCAGTCTTTAGAATCATAAGAAACAAATTTCTGTTGATTATAAGCCATCAATTTATGGCATTTGGTTATAGCAGCTGAAGTGGACAAAGACAGGCCTGGAAGCTCAAGGCATAGTATCTTAAATGATTTTTAACAAAGTGTTTCATGGAAGTCATGGCGGATGCTTTTAATAAGAAAATATTTATTGTGGATGAATCTTTAAAGATTGTGGATGTACTTACTCCTTCCCCCTTCTCACTACTGTACTTGACTATTCTTTTTTTTTCTTTTTCTTTTTTTTTTTTAAAGAAGAAGGGCAGGCTGGGCACGGTGGCTCACGCTTGTAATCCCAGCACTTTGGGAGGTCAAGGAGTGAGGACCACGAGGTCAGGAGATCGAGACCATCCTGGCTAACATGGTGAAACCCCATCTCTACTAAAAATACAAAAAATTAGCCAGGCGTGGTGGCATGCGCCTGTAGTCCCAGCTACTCGGGAGGCTTAGGCAGGAGAATCGCTTGAACTCCAGAGGCGAAGGTTGCAGTGAGCCAAGATTGAGCCACTGCACTACAGCCTGGGCAACAGAGCGAGACTCCATCTCATAAAAAAAAAAAAAAGAAAAAAAAAAGAAGAAGGGCAGACACAGTGACTCACAGCTGTATTTCTAACACTTGGGAGGCCAAGGAGGGAGGATCACTTGAGCCCAGAAGTTGGAGACTAGCCTGGGCAACACAGGGAAACCCTGTCTCTACAATTTTTTTTTTTTTTTTTTAATTAGCCGGGTGTGGTGGTGAATGTCTGTAGTCCCAATTACTTGGGAGGCTGGGGGCGGGGGTAGGATTACTTGAGCCTGGGAGGTCAAGGCTGCAGTGAGCTATGATTGTGCCACTGCACTCCAGCCTGGTGACAGAGCAAGACCCCGAAGAAGAAGAAGAAACAAGAAGCGGATGATTAGGAAAAGAAGAAAAAGAAAAAACATTGTGAATGTGTCAGTTGGAGGGGAAAAGGGAACTTCGATGGTATGGGGTAGAGTGCTGAAAGTTTTGAGAAAAATAGTTAATGACAGTGAAAACAATAACAGACAAAATAAAAAGCAACATAATGCAGAAAGGGAGCTTCTGAAAAAGGTTTGAGAGAAAGTCAAATGTATATTGTTAAATAGAACCGAGGTTCAAGCCAGAGACAGTTTCTATAGAGGAGAGAGATCAAGAGAATGTGCAAAGCCCAGACTTTAAGACGATACTAGAGAGGTTGATACAGTGGAGGAGGTTAGAGTTCTGGATCTGTGTAGATCTGAGTAATCTTGAGTAACAATGACATGCTTTAAATCAATATAGTTTACACATTCACATTTTTCACAATTTATGATGCTTTAGTTACACAGATGAACCACATGGGCTGGACTGTGGGAGGGCGGGTGTTAAATAGGAAAATTGGGGCAATCACAGAACACCTTGCAGAAGCACTTCCTTTACTTGGCATGGTCAGAGTTAGCTCCAGCTGTCACCCCTTCTCTAAAATCTTTACAGATTCCTCGGATTAGAAGCAAGGCCCTTATCATTGTGTACTTTTCATCAGTTATTTGTGGTAAATACCCCTAAGTAGACTAGAACTTCGATGAAGGTAGATCTGGGTCTATTTTGGGTGTTCCAGGCTTTGTCTTGCACACAGTACTTCAATATACTTTTATATTCTTTCTCTCTTCTCTGTTTCCTTGTCCCCTTTGTGTCTTCTCTTCTAGTGTTACTTTGCAAAAGAATTCTTTACGGATCTGGCTAAAATGCAGTTTCAGATTCAGTAGTTCTGCATTTCTTTTTCTTTTCTTTTCTTTTTTTTTTTTTTTTTGAGACGGAGTCTCACTCTGTTGTCCAGGCTGGAGTGCAGTGGCGCGATCTCGGCTCATCGCAACCTCTGCCTCCCGGGTTCAAGCGATTCTCCTGCCTCAGCCTCCCGAGTAGCTGGGACTACAGGCGCACGCCACTATGCCCGGCTATTTATTTTTATTTTTATTTTTAGTACAGACGGGGTTTCACCAAGTTAGCCAGGATGGTCTCGGTCTCCTGATCTCGTGATCCGCTGATCTCCGCCCTCCAAAGTGCTGGGATTACAGGCGTGAGCCACCGCGCGCTGCCTAGTTCTGCATTTCTAACAAGTTTTCAGGTGATGCTTATGTTGGTGCTCCTCTGAGACTAATCACACCTTAATTTCCAGGGTGTTAGAAAAACGACCCAAAACAGACTACACAGCGTCAGTGTCCTGGGTTCAAATGTGAATTCTGTTTTTTTAACGGTGCGATTGTGGGCAGTGGAAGCCTCTTGCTTTCCCTGTAAAATGAGATACACTCAGCACCTGTTGCATGTGTTATTGCGAATATTCCGTAAAATAATGTACATAGCGGGCAGTCAGGTTCGGGTCGCCGTCAGAGTACAATTAATGATAATTACGAATGTGGAGGCGGAGCCGACAACGGAAGGGGTGGGGCGTCGCCAAGCCTTGCGCATGCGCAGTCCTCCTTGAACGCACCTCAGGTGAGACTGTGGCGAGTGGCTTCCCCTCGGCGGTCGGATGTCGGGGTCCCCAGTGCGACGAGAGTGGGGCGGGCTTCTGCGTGGGGCCTCGTCACAGTTCTGGGGGCATGTAGAAGACAGTCAGGTGTCACTGCCTCAGTTCACTGGAGGCGAGTGTTTCCGGGTCGCTGGCGACCGTGGCCTGGCGGCCGGGCCGTGCTCCGTGCGTGCCCGCGCGTGTCGCCTGCAGGCCCGGGCCGACAGTTCCGCGGGCTAGGGGAGCGCCGAGGGAATCCGAGGGCACCAGGGAACCGGGGGAAGCGGGAACTGGGTGCGAACCGCGGCAGGAGCCGGGGGCGCGGAGGCGGCCAGCCTGAGACAGCTCTCTGCCTCTGCTGAAAAGCCGTCCTCTGCACAGCTAGACAGGGAGAGATGTTGCTGCTTGAAACCGCGTTGCCTGCAGACGCTAAGCTGGGAGGCCGCCCCGCACAGGGAAGCAGCCCCGATTCCCTGGAGCGCAGCCCCGGATAAGGGGCTTCCGACCCAGCATTGCACATTTGGCTTGAGCTTGTGTCCCCGAGTCGGCTTCTCAGCCCCTTGTGATGTTAACTGCATGACACACAGCCCTGCGCCGAATCTTTCAGAGGCGGCTTCGTGTTAAACTTCACCTAAACTCCTTCCCGGAATGATGCCTGTCCCTGTGCTGAGAAGGCAGGCGCTCCTCTGCCGTGTCTCCCTTGCCGCAGCTAGTAAACGTCACTTCGTTGTGGGTGGACAGGTGTGCCCCTGGTGGTCTGTAGCAAAGGAACTTGAAGTTTTATCATCGGCCTCCTGAAGCCGGGAGCCTCGGAGTGCAAAACTATATATATATTTTTTGAAAGGTAAATACTTTGTCGTATGATGTTACTTGGAGGCAGCTACGCTCACCACTGTACACCAAGGCAGCTGTCCAGTATTATTCGGACTTATTTTCTTTCCTTTTAACCCTGGCCTACAAATGGACTTTATTTCTTATCACCCTCTCATAAAACAAAATTTTACTTCGATTCCTTGAATAATGGAACTGGCTGTAGGCAGTCTTTGTTCATCCCTGGAACATTAAAAATAACCCCCCAGCACTTTGGGAGGCCTAGGCGGGCGGATCACGAAGTCAGATCGAAATCATCCTGGCCAACACGGTGAAACCCCGTCTCTACCAAAAAATACAAAAAATTAGCCGGGCGTGGTGGTGGGCGCCTGTAGTCCCAGCTACTCGGGAGGCTGAGGCAGGAGAATGGCGTCAACCTGGGAGGCGGAGCTTGCAGTGAGCCCAGATCGCGCCACTGCACTCCAGCCTGGGCGACAGAGGGAGACTCCGTCTCAAAACAAACAAACCCCCCAAAGAGGCCAGGCGCAGGGGCACACGCCTGTAATACCAGCACTTTGGGAGGCAGAGGCGGGAGGATCACTTGAGGTCAGGACTTCAAGAATAGATTGGTCAGCTTGGTGAAACCTCATCTCTACTACAAGTACAAAAAATTAGCCAGACGTGGTGGCACATGCCTATAATCCCAGCTACTCGGGAGGCTGAAGCAGGAGAATCACTGGAACCCGGGAGACGGAGATTGCAGTGAGCCAAGGTCGCACCACTGCACTCCAGCCTGGGAGACAGCAAGACCCAGTCTCAAAAAAATAGGCCAGGCGCGGTGGCCCATGCCTGTAATCCTAGCACTTTGGGAGGCTGAGGCCGGTGGATTGCCTGAGCTCAGGAGTTCAAGACTGGCCTGGGCAACAGGGTGAAACCCCGTTTCTACTAAAATACAAAAAATTAGCTGGGCCTGGTGGCGGGAGTCCCAGCTTCCAGCTACTGGGGAGGCTGAGGCAAGAGAATTGCTTGAACCTGGAAGGCGGAGGTTGCAGTGAGCTGAGATCGTGCCACTGCACTCCAGCTTGGGCAACAGAGCAAGACTGTGTCTCCAAAAAAATAAAAAATAACTTCAAGAGAGGCATCTGTATTGAGCATGACTTATTTTCTGTCAGTCATGTACAGCATTGTAGTGAATGGAGCAAAACAACTGTCCCTTTCCACCAGTCAACTGCCTCTTGGTTGTATATGAATTCCTTCCTTTGTAAATTTCTTTGCTTCATTTCTTTTAAATAAGAATAGTAAAGTTTTAATCTTTTGGTCTCCAGGGTGATCACATTATCAAAATGAGGGAATTTGGGGGGGTGGGGTGGGGAGGGACACCTGGTAAGATATTAGCAGAATAATCCTACAAAAAAAAGGAAAGTTACTTGATTACACCCACCCTCAGGCATTGAAAAGGGGTGGGAAGTGAATGGAGTAAACACCTGACCACAGCGAGCTGGGACTGAGGACAAAGGAGTACACACAGGACAATAGAAACATCTGAGATGAAAAACGAGTCGTTCTCCTCTTCTGGACTTTGAGGTTATAAGGAGGCTGGCTAAAAACTTGGGTTTACATTAATTTATTCAGTAAGAGTCTTATATTCTATTTTCTTAGCTTGTTATCTTTTAATTTGAAAAAGAATAATGACACAAACCTGTTTTCTTGATTAGCTTTTAAAGGAAGACAATCAAGATCTAACTGGTCTGTAGTTTTGCCTCTTATTGGTTCATCATCCAATCAGTTTCCACCCCCTGCCCCCATTTGTATAAAAATTACTGAGAGTGTCTGCTGAAGGGCAGATTATTGGCTCATGCCTGTAATCCCAGCACTTTGGGAGGCTGAGATGGGCGGATTGCTTGAGCTCAGGGGTTTGAGACCAACCTGGGCGACGTGTTGAGACCCTGTGTCTACTAAAAATACAAAAAAATAGCCAGGCATGCCAGTGGTCCCAGCTGCTCAGGAGGCTGAGGTGGGAGGATTGTTTGAGCCCAGTGAGGTGAGATTGTGCTACTGCACTCCAAATGCCTGAACTATAGCACATAATTTATGTTGTATTATTAGTCTATATCAGCATATATTAGTATATATAGTATATATTAGTATATATCAGTGTGTATATATACTATCTATAATATACATATATAGTATATATAATAGTATATATTATATTAGTATATGTTGTATTAATAAATGAAGAACTCCAGCCCTAGAAAATGTAGAACCTCTTCAGAAAAATCTTACTTTTGTAGGGCACTTTACAAAGAAGAGCTGTTCACATATTGTGTCCATTTAGATTATTTCTTAATTCCCAGTGCAGCTAAAAAATTAACCTATCTTCCCCATTCTGTTTTCCTACACAGTTAAAAAATTTAAGTTCTGTAAATTGTTTTTTACAATGCTTTCTTGCATTCTATCTCTTTCCTGTGCTTTATCTAATTTTGTCTTTGGTTCATCATGCCCCTTAGGCATGGAGTTTGAAAACTAGGTATGTAGGATGCCTAAACCAAAAAAGTATACCATAGTATTGAAGTCTTATTCCCATACAGATAAGCCATTCAAATTGTGGGAATGAATTTGAGTTATTAGATAAATTATAATAGTAGTTTAAGTATGCTCATTCAGGTTTATACATATCTGTTAATTTTAAATTTAGGATGGCCCGTACTTTGGAACCACTAGCAAAGAAGATCTTTAAAGGAATTTTGGTAGCCGAACTTGTAGGCGTTTTTGGAGCATATTTTTTGTTTAGCAAGATGCACACAAGCCAAGGTAATCATAATTCAGAAGTTAATGCTTTCTAAAGGGGTATAGTTTTGCTAATCCATTTTATGTGTTAAATGGCAATGGCATTTTTGGAGAAATTGGTTCTTCAGATTCAAGATATTAGACATTTTTATGGGCATAACAGGAATCAAAGTATTCATTATTGTAGACTAGATGACTCTCACTTCTCCCTTAAAAATTTTGTTTGTGGGCTAAGGGAAAAATTTCATACCTCCATGGGTTTTACTATTGGGGAGGGTAGAGCAAGTGGCCTTGGTCGGGCTTAGTTTGGAAGCACAGATGGAGGAAACTTAGCCTGCCCATTACACTTCATTGTTTGGTAGACTAAGAAAGTAACTGGTTACTGCTGTTTTTCTCGGAGTAACAGTTTTCTCAGGCTATAGTATTCTTCCTAGGCATCAACAATGGGCACTAAAAGACTTTCACATGCTATGGCTGAAAGTGCTTTAACATTTTTCTTGGGGAAATTTTATATTAGAGCCCTCAACTTTTTAAATTAGGAAGTGATTTTTCCCAAAAACAAGGAATATTCCTGGCATGGTAGCCATCTTTGAAACTTGTCACATAGTCTTCCTCAGCGTACTTTGTTGGAACGCTGTACCAAGATGCTACTGGATACTCACAAAATCTTTTCAACTCTAAGAAAGGGTATAAAGAAAACATCCCAACAGTATTTAAAAGCAAATTAAAGCTTGGGATGAATTTTAAAAACTGGTCATGGCTGGATGTGGTGGATCACACTTGTAATTCCAGCACTTTGGGAGGTCAAGGTGGAAGGACTGCTTGAGCCCTGTCTGGGCAACACAGCAAGACCCTGTATCTTAAGTGGGGGGGGGGGGGGAAAAAAGACTGGGTATGGTGGTGTGCTCCTGTAGTCCCAGCTACTCGGGAGGTTGAGGCAGGAGGCTCCCTTAAGCCCCGTCCCAGCTATTTGACCTTCACTGAGGTAGGAGGCTCTCTTGAGCCCAACCCAGGGAGGTCTAGGCAGTGGTGGGCTGTGATTGTGCCACTGTACTACAGCCTGGGCAACAGGGAGAGAGATCCTGTCTCAAAAAAACAAAAACAAATGGAGAAGGACTGTAAAACAAATTTCTAATCTATATGGTTCCCATCATATGGACCCTAAAGCTAGCATTAAATTGTGGCTGTATGTGTTAATAATGAATTTCTGTTCATATCTAATTTCAAGACATCCTTTTTTCCATCAGATTTCAGGCAAACAATGAGCAAGAAATACCCTTTCATCTTGGAAGGTATGTTTTTCCTTAAGTAAAAATAAGTATAAAACAACTTCTTCAGGTAAGCTATAAATTATGTAGTAATTTCTTTACAAGGCATTTCTAACAATACTATTCACATCTATTTTAGTTCTTCTGAGACTAAATTCTCATCTATACTAGTGAGAAAATTAGGTAACGGGCTGGATTCTGAATTCTTCTAGTGGTTAAGAATGTAAACTCTGGAATCATTCATGTATGAGGTGACAGAATCAAACCACAGTTTAAAAGTTTGGTTTTAAAAGATCAGTTTCATCTCAGGTTTGCGAACTTCTTGGAGCTGTCTCTTTCTCTGTCAAGTAGATAAAGACTGAACAAGATAACATCATGTAGTTACATGAAATAGTGCTCATTACAATGATCAGAGACGCCAGGGCTTATATGTGAAGTCTGTAATCCTACTGTCTTCTTTTTCATTTTGTTATGTAGCAATATGGAAAAAAGAAGTTTTTTTTTTTTTTCAATATGTTTAATTTTAACAATGTTTCCACATGACTTTATAAATGAGAGCTATTTTTATTTATAGTTTATTACAAATCCACTGAGAAGTCTGGAATGTATGGAATCAGAGAGCTGGATCAAAAAACATGGTTGAACAGCAAAAATTAGATGTAAGTAGAATTTCCATTTATAATTTACATTAATAACTCTCATTTCCTTTGCTTTTTAGTTTTTTGAGTGGTTTTAATCCTCTTCTTTTTAAAATGTTTCTTTTTCTTGATGATACTTTTTACATCTCTGTTGTGTAGCCAGTCATCACGTTCAGCCTCCCATCTAAGCTGTTTGAGACCTTTGGGAGAAGAAAAGATGAGTGTACTACCACACTGTAGACTCCTGGCGGTCCCACAGAACATGCTGCTGAGTCACAGGAACTTCTAGCCTGCCTTGGCCTGCCGTTTCCCACCCACTATACAAACCCACTGCTTGTTTGTTGCTTTTCTTCTCATATTTATTGTCAAAGATTAATATTTCATAAAGAAATGACTAAGGAAGGAAAAGAAACAAATGCTCTAAAGATCTTCTTTCCCTAAGCACTTTTACTGGTGAAATAAAAACCAGTAACAATCAATATCAGAAATAATTAAAATGTCTATAAACATGTAAAGTTACTTAGCAAACTCATGCTATATAAAAATGGCTCACTTCCCTAAAAAAAAGTAAGTTTTGTAGTCTGCAAGTTTTTTTTTTTTTTTGCTGTATATACTTGTTAATCTTACATGTTCTCCTGAGAGAAGATAAAGCCATTCCTTCCAGGTTGTAAAGTACCATGAAAAGGTCTTTCAAAAATATTCCTATCAACCAGGCACGGTGGCTCACGCCAATAATCTCAGCACTTTGGGAGGCCGAGGTGGGCGGGTCACTTGAGGTCAGGAGTTCGAGACCAGCCTGGCCAACATGGTGAAACCCCCTCTCTACTAAAAATACAAAAATTAGCTGGGCGTGGTGGTGCATGCCTGTAATCCCAGCTACTTGGGAGGCTGAGGCAGGAGAATTGCTTGAACTTGGGAGATGGAGGTTGCAGTGAGCCAAGATTATGTCACTGCATTCCAGCCTGGGCGAGGGAGTAAGATGTTGTCTCAAAAAAAAAATTAAATTAAATTAAAAAAATTTCCTATCTTCTGAAGTTCTAAGCCAAAGCTATTTTTAAAACATCAATAAAAAAATTTAAGTTACTTACTTGCATTATCTTTGTTAGCCATGGCATTCATGCCAATGTTATCAAACTTGGATCCCATATTTTCATCCAATAGATGGCCAAACTTAAACAAAAAGATAAATTTATTAGAAAACTAAAAGTAATGTAGAATAGCTAGACTCTTAGAACAGTACATTAGCCTTACCTCTTCAGCAGATACAAATAGGCTGGAATCATTGAAGTTTCTTTTCTTTTTTCTTGGCCCTAAAAAAATTTGTAAGTCTACATTATTCAATTATAAATCTAATGATTTTTAAAAAATGCAATGCAACATGATTTTATTTTAAAAATTATACTTGGGTAAAAACACAATTGCAATAATCTTCTAGCACCATTAGGTAGCTGGCATTTAAATATAATTTAAGTTAGTATATAATATTTTTAAAAAGCTAACAACATCCTAATAGAACTGTTCAGATGACAAGAGTGTCTTCTTGCTTTTCAGATTTGGCCAGTGATCGAAGTTTACCCATAAGGGAAATAACACAGTATCAAGCAATAGTAAAGTTATCAGTTTGACATGGATGGGTTTTGAAATACTTAAGACAAAACATAAAATTTAGTTCAGGGGTCTTATTCTTTGGAGTGTAAGGAAATTGAAAGTATGTTTATTATGCTATGAATGAAGTTCTGTTTATAACACTGAAAGAGGTTCTCCTTTAAACAACACCTACCTGTAGTACTGAAAGTATAAACTTTTCCTGAAAAGTCTCTTTTCCTGAAACAATTATTCAAACTCTGCATCTTTGATATCAATGTCTCTAGCAGTACTAGAGCCGTATTTTAAAAAGAGCTTTACCAAATACACATCATAACATTCAGCTGTTATGTGTATTAACGCATTTAAGTGTATTAATGCATTTTAGTAAATTTACAGACTTGTTCAACCACAACCACAGTCTGATTTTAGAACATTTCCATCAACTTCAAAAGATCCTTGGTGCCATTTGTAGTCCTCCAACCCACCTCCAATCTATCTTGTTTCTATGACTTGCCTTTTCTGGCTGTTTCATATAAATGGGATCATATGACATGTGGTTTCCTGTATCTGGCTTTTTTCATTTAGCATAACGTTTTTGAGGCTCATCCATGTTGTAGTACTCCATGCCATGTTGTGGGCTACATAATATTCCATTGTATGGATATACCACATTTTACTTATCAGTTAATGGACATTTAGGTTGTGTCCACTTTTTGGCATTAATAGTGCCGCTATGAACAACCATGTACAAGTCTTTGTATCAGAGCCACTTTTGATAAAATAGTTTCTAAAGCATTTCATCTTCATTATTATTAGGGTGATATGTTACTTGATAGCTGTATAATACACATCTGCATGCATTAGGAAGGTTTTTTTTGGGTTTTATTCACCCTGTAGCGATGCATCTGTGACCTCAAAGAGTAGGCACTTCTGTACTGTGCTGGTTCCTTAGTTTCTTTTATCCTGCTCCCGCCGCCACTTCAGCCTCAAGTGTGCAACACCATGCCTAGCTAATTTTTGATTTTTGATTTTTTTTTTTTTTTTGAGACAGAGTCTCACTTTGTTGCCAGGCTGGAGTGCAGGGGCACGATCTCGGCTTACTGCAACCTCTGCCTCCTGGGTTCAAGCGATTCTCCTGCCTCAGCCTCCCAAGTAGCTGGGCCTACAAGTGCGTGCCAGCACGCCCAGCTAATTTTTGTATTTTTAGTAGAGATAGGGTTTCATCATGTTGGCCAGGATGGTCTTGATCTCTTGACCTTGTGATCTACCCACCTTGCCCCCCAAAGTGCTGGGATTACAGGCGTGAGCCACTACGCCTGGCCATTTTTGATTTTTTGTAGAGATAGCGTCTCCTTGTGTTGCCCAGGCTGATTAAAGCTTCTATAAGGTATGTTTATTCTTAAGGATATCTACTCTAACACTTGCAAATGTAGGGTGATCAATCAGTAAATTAATACATCTGAATCAATTAATAAATCTGTTTAAAATTCCTTGCCTCTTTTTGTTTCAATCAGTTCTGTTGGGTATTCTTTAATCTGCATCCAAAACTATTATCAATTGAGATCTGAAATCCTTTCAGGCTAATGTCTTCTGAAACAGTACTTTACTATTTGAAACAAGCTGAGAGAGCATCTTTTTTAACATTAAAAAATTTTTTCTTCTCCTCAAATTCCTTTTACCAGCATCTTTTAATAATAGGCTCAGTAGAACTTGAAGTAAAGCAACACTTCTTTTCTGAGGGATGGTCTTGAGAAAAACTGCCTATATCTCATCTTATGCTAATATTAAAACAGGATCTTAGATACTCAAGGGAAGACAAAATCTGGAAGATAACATGTTACAATTTAAATATATATCAGTTAAATCATCTAGTTATTAGGGGACTAATGAACTGACAGCAGTATTTGAAAGAGTTGATAAAATTTTGTAGGCATGAGTCTCTGAAACACTACTACCAATATGTAAATGAAACTTTTAAAAACATTATTTTTAACTTTGCAGATCTATTTTTTGTCATCAGTAGTTAGCAGTAACAGAAGCCAGAGAGGCACTTGAGGCAAAGTATGTATAGTGCTTTCTACATTTTTATCAAAAATCTTAAGACTGTTACCTGATATAGCACTTTTTTCTTTTATTAGCACCTTGTAAGTGTTACACTGTGAAGCATAATCTTGTAAGATATACTTTGAAAAATGTTAAAGAATATATTAGCAGAAAGAACAGTTCGTATCATAATAAAGGAGCATGGATTATTGCAAGGGTCAAATGGCAAAGAATAATGGTTGAGAAAAGAAAAAGATAACAGGTGTCTGAAAAATCCAGGGTTTTATAATTGAATGGTTTAAAAATGAATGAGGAGAGATTAGCATGTGAATCTCTGGACTAGGTAAGGAAGATCTGCATTCAAATGAGTGGGCACCATCCAATATGCTGGGGCCTTGGAGAGAACAAAACATAGAAGAGGCAAACATGTCGATCTGCTGTGCTGAGGAGGAAAATGGTGGATAAGGGGACAGGACTAACATGCAGCTCCCACATGGATGGACACAACAGTGTGTGGCAATGTGTTTAGTCTCCTTAATCAAAATAATTATCAGCTAAGAATCTGGTATCCAACAAAACTAAGCTTCATAAATGAAGGAGAGATCTATGCTGAGAATTTGCCACTACCAAGCCGGCACTACAAGAAATGCTGAAAGGAGTTCTAAATCTTTTTTTTTTTTGAGATGGAATCTTGCTCTGCCATCCAGGCTGGAGTGCAGTGGTGCAATCTTGGCTCAGTGTGACCTCTGCCTAATGGGTTCAAGTGATTTTTGTGCCTCAGCCTTCTGAGTAGCTGGGATTATAGGGGCTTACCAACATGCCCAGCTAATTTTTGTATTTTTTGTAGATATGGGGTTTTGCCATGTTGGCCAGGCTGGTCTTGATCTCCTGACTTCAGGTGGTGTCCGCCTGGGCCTCCCAAAGTGCTAGGACTTCAGGCGTGAGCCACTACACTCAGCCTAGGAATTCTAAATCTTGAAACAAAACCTTGAAGTACACCAAAATAGAGCCTCCTTAAAACATAAATCTCAAAGGGCCTATAAAATAACAATGAAAAAACAACATCATCAAAGTATTCAAGCAACAACTAGCATGATGAAAAGAACAGTACCTCACATCTCAAATAATAATGTTGGATGTAAATGGCCTAAATGCTCCTCTTAAAAGGTACAGAATGTGAGATTGGACCACCAACCAAGAATCTGCTGTGTTCAGGAGACTCACCGAACACATGACTCACATAAACTTAAAGCAAAGGGGTAGAAAAAGATATTCCATGCAAATGGAAACCAAAAGCAAGCAGGAGTAGCTATTCTTATATCAGACAAAACAGACTTTAAAGCAACAACAGCTAAAAAAAGACAGAGGGACATTACATACTACTAAAATGGTTAGTTCAACAAGAAGTATCATAATTCTAAATATATATGCATCTACCACCAGAGCTCCCAAATTTATAAAACCATTACTATTAGACCTAAGAAATTAGATAGATGGCAACACAATAATAGTGGGTGACTTCAATACTCCACTGACAGCCTTAGACAGGTCTTCAAGACAGAGTTAACAAAGAAACAATGGACTTAACACCCTAGAACAAATGGACTTAACAGATACTTACGGAATATTCTACCCAAAAACTGCAGAATATACATTATTTTCATCAGCACATGGAGCATTCTCAAGGATAGACCATATGGTGGGCCACAAGTCTCAATAAACTTAAGAAAACTGAAATTGTATCAAGTACCCTCTCACACCACAGTGGAATACAATTGGAAATTAACTCCAAAAGGAACCTTCAAAACTATATACAAATACATGGAAATTTAATACTCTGCTCTTGAATGATCTTTGAGTCAACAATGAAATGAAGATGGAAATTAAAATATTTTTTTGAACTGAACGGTGACACAACCTATCAAAACCTCTGGGATACAGCAAAAGTGGCACTACTTTTAGTAAGTTCACAGCATTAAATGTCTACATCAAAAAGTCTGAAAGAGCATAAACAGACAATCTAAGCTTACGCCTCAAGTAACTAGAAAAACAAGAACAAATCAAACTCAAACCCAGCAGAAGAAAAGAAATAAAGATCAGAGCAGAACTAAACAAAACTGAAAAAACACTACAAAAGATAAATGAAACAAAAAGCTGGTCTGTGGAAAAATAAAGAAAATTGGTAGACCATTAGCAAGATTAACCAAAAAAAGAAGAGAGAAGATCCGAATAAGCTCAATTAGAAATGAAATGGGAGAGACAACAACTGATACCACAGAAATACAAAAGATCATTCAAGGCTACTATGAACACCTTTATGCACACAAACTAGAAAACCGAGATAAAATAGATAAATTCCTGGAAATATACAACCCTTCTAGATTAAACCAGAAAGAAAGAGAAACTCTGAACGGACCAATAACAAGTAGCATGATTGAAACAGTAATAAAAAAAACTGCCAATAAAACAAGGTCCAGGACCTGATGGATTCACAGCTGGATTCTATCAGATATTCAAAGAATTGGTACCAATCTTACTGAAACTATTCAGTAAGATAGGGAAAGAGGGAATCCTCCCTAAATCATTCAATGAAGCCAATATCAGCCTAACTCCAAAATCAGGAAATGACGTAACAAAAGAAGACTACAGACCAATATTCCCGATGAACACAGATGCAAAAACCCTCAACAAAATACTAGCTAACCGAATCCAACAGCATATCAAAAAGATAATATACCATGATGAAGTGGGTTTCATGCCAGGGATACAGGACTGGTTTAACGTATGCAAGTCAATAAATGTGATACACCACATAAACAATTAAAAACAAAATTCATATGATCATCTCAATAGATGCAGAAAAAGCATTTGACAAAATCAAGCATCCCTTTATGATTAAAACCCTAAGCGAAATTGGCACAGAAGGGACATACCTTAAAGTAATGAAAGCCATCTATGATAAACCCATAGCCAACATTATACTGAACAGGGAAAAGTTGAAAGCATTCCCCCTGAGAACTGGAAAAAGACAAGGATGCCCACTTTCACTGCTTCTATTCAACATAGTACTGGAAATCCTAGCCAGTGCAATTGGACAAGAGAAAGAAATGGCATTCTTTCATATCAGTAAAGACGAAGTCAAACTGTCACTATTCACCAGTGATATGATAGTATACCTAGAAAACCCTAAAGACTCATCCAAAAAGCTTCTAGATCTGATAAATAAATTCAGCAAAGTTTCAGGATACAAAAATCAATGTACACAAATCAGTAGCACTGCTACACACCAACAGCAACCAAGCTGAGAATCAAATCAATTACTCAACCCTCCTTACAACACCTGCCAAAAAAAAAATAATAATAATACTTAGGAATATACCTAATCAAGAAGGTGAAAGATCTCTAAAAGGAAAACTACAAAACATTGTTGAAAGACACCATAGACACACACACAAATGGAAACACATCCCATGTTCATGGATGGGTAGAATCAATATTGTGAAAATGACCATACTGCCAAAAGCAATCTATGAATTTAATGTAATTCCCATCAAAATGCCATCATCATTCTTCACAGAACTAGGAAAAAACAATCCTGAAATTCATATGGAACAAAATAAGAATCTGCATAGCCAAGCAAGACTAAACAAAAAGAACAAATCTAGAGGTATCTCATTACCTGACTTCAAACTATACTACTAGGCTATTGTTACCAAAATAGCATGGTACTTGTATAAAAACAGGCACGTAGACCAATGGAACAGAATAGAGAACCCAGAAATAAAGCCACATACTTACAACCATTTGATCTTCGACAAAGCAAACAAAAACATAAAGCGGGGAAAGGACACCCTGTTCAACCAATGGTGCTGGGATAACTGGCAAGCCACATGTAGGAGAATTAAACGGATCCTCATTTCTCACCTTATGCAGAAAACTCAAGATGGATCAAAGACTTAAATCTAAGACCTGAAACTATAAAAATTCTAGAAGGTAACATTGGAAAAACTCTTCTAGACATTGGCTTAAGCAGAGTTCACGACCAAGAACCTAAATGCAAGTGCAATAAAAACAAATAGATGGGACTTAATTCAGCTAAAAAGCTTCTGCACAGCAAAAGAAATAACGAGCAGAGTAAACAGACAACCCAGAGTGGGAGAAAATCTTCGTAAACTATGCATCCGAGAAAGGACCAATGTCCAGAATCTACAAGGAACTCAAAAAAGTCAGCAAGAAAAAATCCCATCAAAAAGTGGGCTAAGGATATGAACAGACAATTCTTAAAAAATACACAAATGGTCAAGAAACATGAAGAAATGCTCAACATCCCTAATTATCAGGGAAATGCAAATCAAAGCCACAGTGCAATACTACCTTACTCCTGCAAGAATAGCCATAGTTTAAAAATAAAAAAAATTTCAGATGTTGGCATGGATGTGGTAATAAG